GTTACTCTTGTGGTACCTGGCACCATTTTTTTTTTTAAATTAGTTTCTCAATCATCATCTGGAAAGAAAACATTCTGAGCAACATCATTAAAAACAGCTCTGATAAAGCACAGTCACTACTATGTATCATAAAGCAGGTACAAGCTATTTTACATTCACAGAGGTATGATACAGTACTGTCCTACACCTATAATACTAGAGGATACAATTGAAAAGGCATTATTTGAGACTTGATTCTACTTTTCCAGCAGAGGGCCCAAAGGATGGTATGACAAGCTCTGTAAAGAAACACTCTTAGATAGGATTTCCTTTCACCTAGTGGCACAGTTCTAAGGATTCATTCCCTCATGAACATCAGCTAAAAACCGTTATTAAAAAAAATGAAAGAATACCCCTAAAACAAAACCTTATAACCACTGGATTCATATGAAGATGACCTAGTGGAGACAAGCAAGACCTCACCTTACCAACACTTTATCAAATCTGTTATGCTTAAATGGTGAGACCTCCAAGGAAGGAAGGAGATGCCAAGTAGTGCTTCAAAGCTTCGGACCACAATCAAAACACAGCATCATTTTAAACAGAAGCAGAAGCCAAATGTTGCTCACTTGAAAATACTCAAGAATGCTGACATCAGTATTTAATCATCTGCTCACTCATCCAGGAAGAAGGGGAGATCAGTTACTACTGTACTTTATTGTGTTCAACCAAATCACCATGTTACAAAAATAACAAGCTGCCGTAATAAAAAATAAGGCTCCTCTATCCAGCACCAGTTAGCATCATTTTACTTTCAAGCCTAGAAATGCCACAGACAAATCCAAAGAACACAAGGGAGCAAAAGAACCACAGCTGATCTATCAATGGGACCACCCAGTGCCCAACTGAGCCATGGTGGTGTCATTTTCCTTCTATTTCTGGTGTTTCATTGAATCACAAAGCTCCTTCCTTAGGTCTAAACTGTATGCACTTATGTACGTGTGGACACACTTGTATATATAAAGCGACTGAAGATGCACGTCAACCAAGCAGACCTTACACAGTAGGTGCAAGCCTGTAGAGCCTCCTTTCAACTGGAGTGGCAGCTCTGTCAGTGTAAATGCTCCATGCCCCTTGAGCATCTTCAAGCTCTACACAGGATAACGTCACAGACCATTCTACCCCTGGCTGCTGGCATTATTTGACTTCATTTTCCCTGCCCACCCATCCCCAATGCCCCAAAATAAACCAAAGCTTTTAAGATTTTGTTTCTTCGGTTTTGATCGCCTGAGGTTTGATTGGTCCAGTTCTAACAGGCTTGGTGGTTATGGTGGGCGCGGGGGGTGGCTTTTCTTCTACTTTTTCCTGACAGGTACCAGGAGGGTCCGTCAGTGTTTCGGGGGGTTTACTTGAATCACTGTCCACTTTCTGAGCTTTGCCGCCTATCTGTTTGCTCTGTTGCTGTTCAGAGAAGAACCGTTGCGTGGACTGAAGAACCTCTGCTCTCTGCTTTGCCTTAAAAAAATAAGAAAACAAAAACTGAAAATACTGCAACATCACCTAACATTACCAAAGCCTCTCAAATCAATCTCAGTTCAAATTTTTGTACCAATCACAAAAATCAGTTTTCCCTAAGTTGGTTTGGCCCCATTGATCTTTCAGTTTTTAATATATAGGCTTCTTCCTATCTTTGAAAATATTCTATGTGATTTTTAAAAAAATTGCGGAAACAAGACCACCTCCCACCATCTTCTAGCGTCTGCCCTCTTATAAACAATAAAATACATATTGCTGTTGGTTTGTAATTTTTAGGGGGAACAGCTAACGGATACTTTATTCAGGGAGGCTGCTTGCAAATCTGAAAACATACATGTACTGTAACACTTAAAACTTCTAGTTATCAATATGTGGTCTACAATAAAATGAAAAGGAAGCACTTATATTGTGGCATTACCAACACCTAGGACCAAATGTCTTGTGGCTGAGTCCTCTTCCCACAGCTCTCTTCTGCAGGGGAAGAGCATCAGAAATTAGTAACTACAACTTCACTTGATCACTAAGTTCTGATAGCTCCTACCACATTCTGAGCTGGTAAATAACCTTAGTTTCATTGACTCTGTGCCCCAAAGAAGGTACTTAGGTTAATCTGCAAATCATAGTACTACAACATATACAATTAAAACCTAACTCTCTACCCCTCTTTCACATAACAAGAACAATAACCAAAACTCCTTCATGTTCTAGAGGTAACCTATACTATCTAAAGATCTAGAAACTTAAGAAATAGTTAAGAAACTATTATTATTAAGCTCTAATGCCATTTCTAACATGAGAAGTGTTTGAAAATCAAGTGGCAAGTAGCCAGGAGCAGAAGGCTACACAATCTGCAAAGCTTTTGGGGCTGGTACTTTAGTAGTAACAAACAGATGGAGCCCTAGGCAAGCCTAACAAAACTAAGTGATGTGTAACAAGACTTCTCCTAAAGGGGAGACTTTGAGTTGTATTACTCAGCATTAGAAACACAAAGGCTATCAGTCAATTAGATGAATTCTTTAATCAGCATTATCACAAACATGTTTCTAATTCAGAGTAAAGCATTACTGTGCACATTCTCCTGCTTGTAAGCACTAATCTAGTCTAATCCATGTCATGATAAAGCAAGTAAAATCACTAAGATTTTTAGAGTCACCCCTAAAGTAATTACAGAAACAAACTCTAACTGGTTATACAGGCAGACTGGTAAGATTTATGCTGACAACTGTCCCCACACAGACTCCTAATGGCCTCAGCAAACCCATGTTTATTTGTGCCTTTCATCATGAAGGATCCCAAGTGCTTTACTGAGTTCATTTATACTTATATTCTGGAATATAGCCACCTCAAGTGGCAGGCAAAAAAAGGATGTAGAAAACAGTTTGAGATGAAAATTACTTAAATGACTTGTGAAGAAAAAAAAAAAAATCAGGGACAGCTAACATGTCTTACCCATTCCAGAGTTCACATAACCATGATTATGTATTACACTGGGTGGGGGAGGGGAGGTCAGGGAGGGAAGGGGAAAAAAGAAATAAAACGGGGTAACTTGTAATAAACAATCCATATCACATTTTTTAATACTTAAAAAATAGTGCATCCAAACTCAGATCTCCCTCACTTATTTCAAAAGCAATTCATTTGGATATAGTTTAAACGTTAATTTGATTCCTGACTACAGTGGCAAAGGGGGGGGGGTCATAAAAAGGAGGAAAAGGTAAGGATGGAAGGAAGAAAAAAATGGGGAGTGTGTGTGTGGTGGTGTGAATAAAAGTAGTTAGCTGGTTAAGTCTAATAAAGACAACGAATGCCTGGATATATCGTTATGGGTCCAGAGGCATTTAAGACATGGTTCAGAGACAGACTGTTGCTCTGTTGGCTGTTAACACTGTACTAACCTTCATATCTTGTTCAGCCTTCAACGCAGCCTGGGCCTGATTACCTCTGACTCCAGATAGTGATCCACAAGGACCCCTGGCTACATGTGGCAAACGAGCATGGCTCATGAGGCCTGTGGTCAGCGGAGGAGGCATCTGACTGGCCAGTGCCATTGGTGGCCTCTGTACAGGCGCTGGGAAGGTGTTAGTATGTGGGGCTCTTACCAATGGAGGGACCAGGTTAGGCTGAGAGAGAATCTGAGTGAAAAAACAAAACATACAACATTGAACTGTTAAAAAAAAAAAGCCAACTAGACTAGGTTGGCTTATCCCAGAGTAAACCTGTGCCCACTTTGCCAGTTTTTGGATTGTGCCATTCCATTAATAAGGACAAAGAACATACAGGCCATGCTTATAAAGTTTAACAGAAAAATTAGGCAAAGCATGCTATGGCACTTCAGCTGCAAATTCTACGGGGGAGATAGAAAGGATCCAAATAAGTAGGATTGTGGGATCTTTAAAGGGACAACTGCAGAAAAGCACACTTCTAAGCCAAACATGATCTGAAGACAAAGTAATAGTAATTCAACAATTGTGTTTCTTAGGAACCAATTCTAGCCTATGAGTTATCAACCTTTGTCAGTCTTCAATATGATCAATAAGGGAAGGAGAAGCAAACATACCCACCCACTTATTTAAAACATTCTGAAACTCTTACTGCAACTATAGATACCATAAAAACAAAAACCCACTTTAGGCCTGGAAAACTTAAGCACTGGGACCCTTCGCTGAAAATTAAACTTCTTCAAAAGAAGACAAAAGGAACAGGACTCAAACTTCAAGAGTTGTGTGGGGAATCTTGAGTATTTCTACTGTCTGCTTTAAAACTAAATAACTACTGCCTGTGTATTTATAAACAATAGAAAGAATATATTTGAGTATCATACATCCACTGTTAAAACCAGACAAGTCTTCACTCAGAGGTGCACATCTTAACTGGTTCACCCATGATCATAAAACCACAACTTTAGTCAGATTAGCCACCATTTACAAGCACTACATTCATTCTCCCTTGGGAGCTGCCTACCTGGGGTGCAAACTGTGCAGGAAATGGTTGAGTCATTCTCACTGTGGCAGGGGCTGACTGGAATTGCTTCTGATAAACAATGCTGTTCATTTTACTAGACTGGCTGTTTGGACTTGTCGAAGTAGCCCTTGGAAAAGAAGTCACTGGTTAGTAGAGTAGTGCCAAGTAAATAATGCTGTTAGATTTTCAAAGATATTTTCCTTTGCATTTCCATCACATTTACTTGTTAATTAAAAAACAAAAAAATCCCATGGTAGTGCTATTAAGAGAAGCAAAGGTGAGAAACAGTTCCTATACTTGTATTAAAAGGATGTTCTTAAAATACAGTGTTAACATCTTAGATAAAACTAACAAAATAAATATCTTAATCACTTCTGCTTAACATAGGACTGATAAAACAATTGAATTTCTTCATTACTTTTCAATTTCCTAAGCAAATTTAAATGTCAATTCCTTACCGGAATGGACTAGACGTTGGTGTGGTGCTTCGGCCACCAATTGGAGGTGTCCCTGGTTTGATATCAATGCCACTCCCAAAGGCTTTTAGTTCCATTTCAGACATCTGAGAAAAAACACAAAATAAAGTTAACATTCCTTTAATTCTGTGCTTAATGTCCTATATATGATGGTTAAACTATAGAATCCTATAGTTGGTTTCAAATTTCATAGTCACTGGGTCAAGCAGACTTTTATAATTAAGTGAGAGATTATATAATACTAAAGTTTCATAAAAACCCTCTGAATTAGACAAAAACAGGGAGTGTAAAAAGGTAGCAAATAATAATGTAAGAAAAACAAGCATACATGCATGTGAGGTTTTCTGTGGGGTTGTAAAAATTGATGTTTTATTTATATTATACCTTACTTATGTCTTTATTTAGTGAGTGCACACTTCACCCTGAACATGGAGGTCAGTACATTTTGTGGGTTATCAGGTCTCTCCTTCCACCATACGGGTTCCTGGGATTGAACTGAGGTCTTAGGCCTTGGCAGCAAGTGACTTTACCCAATGAGCCATCTTAAAGCTGTTTTAAAGTTGTATCTGTTTTATTGTGTGCGCGCACATGCGTATGTTTGTGTGACTGTCATGTGTACATGCATTTTATCTTCATGGACAACACTAAGAGAACATACACCACATCTCTTAACTCTAAGCACCATCAGCAGAAAGCCCTTCTGTACACTAACCTTTCCTGTGGCTGCCATCATGCTATGCTGTGTTCCAGCAGGGATTAAGCCTCTGAAAGGCTGGCTGACTTGTGCAGGGCGGCTCAGGCTTGGGGCCTGTGCTTGTGGTGTTGTGTGCTGTAACTGGGGCTGAAGTGTCTGAGGCAAAGCAATCAGAGGCTGTCCTGCAGATCCAAAATTAGTCAAGGAGAGCTGAGATGCTGGTAAAGGTACTGTAACCTAGAAAAAGAAGCAAAGAGAAACTGTAATACACACGAGGTCTTCAAAGACTTTTAAAATGAACAATGTAAGAATATTTTCATGAAATATCCATCAAATCTTTAGGTAAGTATCACTATTTTCTTTTTCCTCTTTAAGACAAGATCTCACTATGTAATCCTGGCTGGCCTTGAACTCAGAGATCTGCTTGCCTCTGTCTTCCAAGTTCAGGGGTTTAAAGGTATGAAGCACTGCACTCAGCCCTAACTATCTCTATTCTTGTATCAGCGGTCTGATGACAATATATAGCCATATGCTGCGTAACAACAGGGACGGGTCTTGAGAAATGTGCTGTCTGGTGATTTCATTACCATATGAACATCAAGATTACAGTTCTGTATATGTTAACTGTAGTGAAGAAACTATATTCAATGAAATGATGACTAACTTTGAAGATACTCATAGTGCATGTCAAATATACAAAACAGAATCCAAGCAGCAAAAGTTCCCTCCACCAATACTGCCATATTATTTGCAAGTCTGGTCAAAATGAGTGTTCTTAACAAAAACTTTCTAATTTTCATACAAACAACTTTTTTTTTTTTTGGAGAGATTTTCTCTGCGTACTTTTGTGCCTTTCCTAGAACTCACTCTGTAGCCCAGGCTGGCTTCGAACTCACAGAGATCCACCTGCCTCTGCCTCCCTAGTGCTGGGACTAAGGGCGTGCGCCACCACCGCCTGGCACATACAAACAACTTTTACGTGTCAATAAAATATTATGAACTGTCATTCCTATCGATGGCAAGCCAAAGCCAAGGATTAATGACTGGCCCTTCTCTAGCCTTCTACCATGTGTAATAATGCCAGAAGAGAACATTCATTTTCCACTGGAAATCTAACTGCATCCACACATGTAAGGTGCTGCCTTGACTGCCACTCTCTGCTATAGCACCAAAGTTATTAACTTGTTTAGAGGTTTTTTGTTTTGTTTTTTTTTTTTTACCTCTAACACTAATGGGCATGTCACATTATATTCTTGAAAAAATGGTTTTCAAACTTTCATATTCATGGATTCTTTTCTTAGAAGCTGTAAGAAACTTACATGGAAACTCAGCTTTAAAAAAAAGAGATGAGGGCAGGGCGGTGGTGGCGCACGCCTTTAATCCCAGTACTTGGGAGGCAGAGGCAGGCGGATCTCTGTGAGTTCGAGGCCAGCCTGGGCTAACAAGTGAGTCCCAGGAAAGGCGCAAAACTACACAGAG